TTGATATTGACCACAACATCCTTCACAGCTTGCTCCTCTTCAAGCGCAATAGACCCATCCATCTCATATTCATTCTCTATCCCACATCCTCCTACCACGGACGGAGATATGTCCCGTTCGCTCGCTCGCCCCCAGTACTTCATTGCAATAAATTTAGCTCTTCTGGCATGAAGTTTCAAATGTGTTGGATGTGGTAGCAGCTCGTTAGCATAAGCAGCACAGTCCGCAATAAAGTTTCTTACATCCACTCTCCATCCCCATGTTCCCGCTGGACTGCTTGAAATGAAGAACTGCCGCCTAACATCAGCCAGTTTACGTGCACCCTGTTCACCTCCCTCTACGATGCTCTCATAGTTTGCTTTAGTTCTTCCTCTGTGCAAAACTTCCGCTTTCCCCTCTTCAGAAGATAGAGGAAGCAAATTAAATTATCGACATTGTCCACATTACCCTCCAAAGGAGAAGCAAGGGAGCCGCCATGTTGCAGGAATGGCACGAAGGCTTCCCAGAAAAGGTTGTGTGTCATACCGTAGAATGAGGGGGAAAAGTCGCATCCAGCTAAACTGTACAATATTGCCGCACTTTTTCCGGATGTGCCAAGGGAGCGCAGGCAACTTACAGCTGCATCTACCTCATGCACTGTATCAGATAGTATTTGAACCAAACCTTTCCCGAACATGTCAGGATTAGAAAGCAGAATGAAAAATACATCAGTGTCGTTGGAAAGAATGACTGATTGACAGTATAATTCAACGCTTCTCTGCTCACTGAGAGAGGCGCTGCCTCTATCACTCCCTGACGTCGTGCTTCCAATTACGCTGGAGATTGAGGGAGATATATATTCATTCATTGTTGCAACAAATGTAGTCTCAGATTAACCATGTCGGATGTCGACGTTTCTGACATAACCTGGTCTCCTTGTTTGTAAAACAAGGCATCGTGAGCGGGGGACCGCAAACTTGTCACCCCCCTCGCCATCCAGAAACCCCTCCCCTGCGAGCTGCAATATCACTCGTCCCGTACCAACGTCATCCCGGTCAGTCATCGCTACCCTTTCTGGTTGGAATTCGCACGGCTTCCGTGGCGTAAATGACGTTGGAATGAGAAATGAGCCTCTATGTAGAAATACACTGCAATTATGAGCTCTCCGTTCGAACAACTCGAAGGCTGCAACGGCGCCGCAAAACAAATGAAGGGAGCCCAATTCGTCTTTGTATTCCCTGTCATTGAGCAAATATGACCACGGCACATTGAGCTCATCCTGAAATTCTAAGCGTACAAGTTGCCGGTTCCGGTCCAAAATGTCCCTATCTTTCTGCTTCCTCTGTGGTTGATGTGGATCTAAGAAAGATAATATTTGGAGGGGTCTTCGACCAATTCCCGCACGGTCTCAAAGTCACAACCTGTGCGTCTTCGAAACTCCATCATAAACACGTCATTTCGTAAGGAGTCTTCTCCGGAGATAATGTTGTATAATGTCCAGTCACAGCGCGGGGTTCAAACAACATCTTCATCCACAGTCGATCCGTTCCTTATTGATGAGCATATATGACATACTTTTCTTTTTGACCTTTCCCGATCTGGAGCACCCCTCGTCTGCCATGCACGCAATGCGCGGGCAGCATTGTTTTCCAGTACTTTCTGTCATACGAAATGACATTCCAACCCCAACGCTTGTCACGACAAGGAGTGCAAAGCGAAATAGTCCGGTTTCCGGTCCGTTTGAGCCTGACAAACGGGTTTAGAATGCCCCCTGTATCAACGCTTGCGTATGTCTCTAACTTGGCATTTGTTATTGTAACTGCCTTGGTCAGTTTCTGTGGGTGACAAAGACTACAGGCAAAGCACGGAGTAACAGTCCCATTGCCAAGAATGTGAGGGTCGGCTGATACCCTCTCCACATTATTCATTACGAAGCAGATCTCCTTAAATTTCGGATGGACAGTTGTAGAAAAGACGAATGATCGATTGCATCATGTGGGGGGGTTATCGTCGCTTTGAGAAACGAGACACTTCACATCAAAGGAGAGGGATCAAGAAAGACGAGAAAAGCTACGTCGGCGATGTAATTAGGGCAGGTTTTTCGGGGAGTTTCGAACAAGTGGTCACACACAAATTTTATCATATTCCCAAATTGCAGAATATAAAAGGTTTGGTCACTGACTGTAAAAGTGCACTGCGAAAAGTTGAGACAAGAACTAAGAAACTACAGTTATTTGCAATTACACTCAGCGTCACAATCTGACATGCAAGCAACTCTATGCTGTACTAATTTAATACTATACCACGACATTTAACACGAAATTCAACAAGTGATCAAACGTCGGGAGCGGCTTTGCATATCTGTTGTACACGTGTACAATTTATTACTGATCATGAGAGACTGCGGTATGAACGGCGTGACGGACAGCTCTACAGTACAGTACTCGCCACGCCGCTTGCAGAAAAGGCGTAAAATGTAACGCCGCCAAAATTCTTCTCAATATGTTAGGGGGGGCAACGGTCCCCTTCCGTCTCGGGGAAGCTCAACTTGTACCCACTATACAACATACGGTACACCGCCACAGCCCGTCCTCGCCCCCACCCCCCAGCTCTCAAAACACTCCCTCAGGGGGGACCAATCTGCGATATGTGGCGGCGACCATGACCGCCGCGACGACCATGTACGCGACGATCGAACCGAACACGGCCTCCCTGCCCCACCTGCTCCACATGACGCCGGCGAGCATGGCGAACACGACCCTGGCCGAAGAGCCGGTAGCGGAGAAGACGCCGAGAAAGCCTCCGACGGGGAGGCCGGCGAGGACCTTTGAGAAGAGGGCAAGCACGGCCGTCTGCCCGACAGGGTACGCGACGCTCCAAGTGACGGCGAGGAGGGCGACGTACTCGGGCACGGCCGCGGCTTTCGAGACGGCGCGCACGGCGAGCGGGGCGCAGCCCGCCACGACCGTGCACAGGCCGAAGAGCACGAGCGCGCGGTCCGAAAAGGCTCGCGCGATCGGCTTGAAGGACACGTAGATCAGAAGCCCCGCCAGCCCGATGAAAGAGATGCGGAACGAGGCCGCGCCGTAAGTCAGGTGGTGCTGCTCCATCAAGAACGGCGTGGAGATGGTCTCGAACTCGGCGATCACGCCGCGGAAGGCCACGTTGACGAGCAGGCAGACGACCATGGCCGCGACATCCGGGCGCGACGGCGCGGGCGCGGGCGGCGGCGGCGGTGGCGGCGGCGGCGGCGGCACGTCTGAAGGCAGGTCTAGGCTTGAATGTGACTCAGTAGGCGGCTCCGGGGGAGGTGGTGGCGGGTCCAGGTAGATGGAGTGCAGCAGAAGGACCGAGAGCAGGTTGGCCGCGACGAGGACGTAGGCGGGGTAGGTGAAGCCGTTGAGCGGGATGAAGGGGAGTGGGTAGTACTCCGGGAGGAGGGCGAGCAGGCCGCCGGCGCCGGGGAGGACGGCAAAGCCGACGAACTGAGTGGCGGAGAGGTAGGCAAAGTGGTGGGTGCGGATGCGCGAGGGGACGGTCTTGGTGAGGTGGGCGCGGCACACGCTCATAGTAGCCGAACCGAAACCGACGACAACGCGGGCGGCGAAGAGGACGGAAAGGGAAGGGGCGAGGGCGTAGGCGAGATGGCCGAGGACTTGGACGAACGAGGCGGCGATAAGGACCGACGAGGTTGACAGGGCGTCCGATAGCAGGCCCAGCGGGATGGTGGTGGCCATGCGGCCGATGGAGAAGGAGGCGACGAAGACGCCGAGCGCGGACTTGGTGCCGCCGAGGGAGGCCAAGTACGGCCATGTGCTGGGCAGCATGAGGCCGCGCGAGGCCTCGGACACGA